TACACCCACTACACCTGCTAAACCCACAACACCTGCTGCACCCCACAACACCTGCTACACCCACAACACCTGCTACACCCACTACACCTGCTTCAACCACAACACCTGCTTCACCCACAGCACCTGCTACACCCTGTATAATGTGCCTGTTACATTATACAACCTGTATAATGTGCCTGTTAACACCTGCTACACCCACATCACCTGCTACACCCACAACACCTGCTACAGCCACAACACTTGCTAAGCCAACTAAACTTAGCACACTCGCTTCACTCACTATACCCTCATACACTCACTACACTATACTCTGACACTACACTCTGTCCAACAGTATACCCACAACATGTTGCCACATCAACTACACCCGCTGCTACACTATGTGGTCACACTACACCCAGTAACACTCAACCCTCCCTGCAACACCCGTCTCTCTCCTCCAGTGCTGGCTGTAGGCTGTAATGGTGACCAGGTGTAATGTGTCTGTATAACATCCCTGAATAACAGGAACGTTATACAGGCACGTTATACAGGCACGTTATACAGGCACATTATACAGACACATTATACAGGCACGTTATACAGGCACATTATACAGGCACATTATACAGGCACGTTATACATGCACATTATACAGGCACATTATACAGGCACGTTATACAGGCACGTTATACAGGCACGTTATACAGGCTCATTATACAGGCACATTATACAGGCACGTTATACAGGCTCATTATACAGGCACATTATACAGGCACATTATACAGGCACGTTATACAGGCACATTATACAGGAACGTTATACAGGCACGTTATACAGGCACATTATACAGGCACATTATACAGGCACGTTATACAGGCACATTATACAGGAACGTTATACAGGCACGTTATACAGGCTCATTATACAGGCACATTATACAGGCACGTTATACAGGCACATTATACAGGCACGTTATACAGGCACGTTATACAGGCACATTATACAGACACATTATACAGGCACGTTATACAGGCACATTATACAGGCACATTATACAGGCACATTATACATGCACATTATACAGGCACATTATACAGGCACGTTATACAGGCACGTTATACAGGCACATTATACAGACACATTATACAGGCACGTTATACAGGCACATTATACAGGCACATTATACAGGCACATTATACATGCACATTATACAGGCACATTATACATGCACATTATACAGGCACATTATACAGGCACGTTATACAGGCACGTTATACAGGCACGTTATACAGGCACATTATACAGGCACGTTATACAGGCACATTATACAGGCACATTATACAGGCACATTATACAGGCACGTTATACAGGCACATTATACAGGCACGTTATACAGGACATTATACAGGCACCTGTCACGCGCATGTCCGTTGGTTATAATATTTTGGTGTTTGTGTTGGTTGTAGAGCCCGATGCTCCGTCACACAATCACGTCCCTCCTCCTCCTCCGCCTCCTCCTTCACTCCTCCAAACTACTGTGTTCTTCCTCCTCCTTGTCCCCATCCTCCTGCTCCTCCGGCTTGCCTCTCTCTTGACCCTTGAACTTATCCCATCTCTCTTTAACTTCCTGTCCAACTGATGTACGTGGAAGACGGGTTGGGAAAATAAATAAATCCAAGAACGTCCAATCGGATTCAGCATCGACGAACGGCCGAGCGGCTTCCAACACGTCAACAAAGGCGACAACCACGAGGTTTGGGTCGGTCGGGTTAGAGGGGCCGGTGGCGGGGTGGTGTTCGGGATAGCGAGGTCGGGACGGGGTGCTTCGAGTGGGGCGAAAACGGTGTTGTGCTTTTAAGGAAATTGGGGTGTGACACAAAGCCGCCATTGCACTTGTTGAGAGCGCCATGCTAAATTACCGTACTTCACCCACTGTTGCCACACGCTCCTCCGTGTCTCCCAACACACATGAGAAGAAAAATAAGTAACTCAAAACTGCCTCGTTAATCCGAAAGTTTTACACAGTTGAAAGGTACCGAATAATCTCGAACGAAAAAGCAGGTCGATTCCGCCAAGACCCGATTCCACACGCATGATTTTTTATAGTGTTTTTCTGGTGGTGGTAAAAGGTGAGCGCTGGCAACTCGCCGCACTTGAACACCGGAATGGTGGGAATTAAACGGCTGGAAATTTGGCGCGAACTTGAAGATCATAACGAAATTTTTCCGTGATTTTATTTTTGTTTTCAAATGTCATCAAGAGAAGGAAACATTTTAGCACTGAAACTCTGAACTTTATCCGGTGGTGGTGGTGGCGTCAGTGTTGGTGGTAGTGACGATAGTTGTGGTGGTGGTGGTGGTGGCGTCAGTGTTGGTGGTAGTGACGATAGTTGTGGTGGTGGTGGTGGCGTCAGTGTTGGTGGTAGTGACGATAGTTGTGGTGGTGGTGGTGGCGTCAGTGTTGGTGGTAGTGACGATAGTTGTGGTGGTGGTGGTGGCGTCAGTGTTGGTGGTAGTGACGATAGTTGTGGTGGTGGTGGTGGCGTCAGTGTTGGTGGTAGTGACGATAGTTGTGGTGGTGGTGGTGGCGTCAGTGTTGGTGGTAGTGACGATAGTTGTGGTGGTGGTGGTGGCGTCAGTGTTGGTGGTAGTGACGATAGTTGTGGTGGTGGCGTCAGTGTTGGTGGTAGTGACGATAGTTGTGGTGGTGGTAATGGTGGTGGTGGTAGTAGTGATGACTATGGTGGTGTTGGTGTTGTGCTTCAAACAGCGCCAATATGTGGTGTTTATATCTGTTATTGACTGAGGGTTGAGATCTGGGGCTCCCACCTCAAGGTATCTGAGCCCGGTGAGTTTCTCTCGACGTTCGAATTCTTTGTTGTATTGGGTTATGGAGGTGGTGATGGAGGATGCTCACAGCTCCCCCGCTCCGAGCACGCCCCTTGCTGATCTCCGAGCACGTCCCCTGCTGACCTCCGAGCACGTCACCTGCTGACCTCCTAGCACGCCCCCTGCTGACCTCCGAGCACGTCACCTGCTGACCTCCGAGCACGTCACCTGCTGACCTCCGAGCACGTCCCCTGCTGACCTCCGAGCACGTCCCCTGCTGACCTCCGAGCACGTCCCCTGCTGACCTCCGAGCACGTCCCCTGCTGACCTCCGAGCACGTCCCCTGCTGACCTTCTCCAAACTGGAAAAGACTATCGATGTCTTATTTTTTCCCTCTCAGTATTTTGTATATATAGATCATATCCCCCTCTTGTTTATCTGTGTTCAGTGTTGCTAGGCTTGGTTCCCTTAACCAATTAAGTCTTCATGCTCTACGTACTGACTGGCCTTGAGGTTATCTTATCTTGAGGTTATCTTGAGATGATTTCGGGGCTTTAGTGTCCCCGCGGCCCGGTCCTCGACCAGGCCTCCACCCCCAGGAAGCCAGCTGACTAACTCCCAGGTACCTATTTACTGCTAGGTAACAGGGGCATTCAGGGTGAAAGAAACTTTTGCCCATTTGTTTCTGCCTCGTGCGGGAATCGAACCCGCGGCACAGAATTACGAATCCTGCGCGCTATCCACCAGGCTACGAGGCCTTGTTGCAAGCCTCTCTAAACTTGAGGCTACCTTGAGGTGCTTCCGGGGCTTAGTGTCCCCGCGGCCCGGTCGTCGACCAGGCCTCCTGGTTGCTGGCCTGACCAAGCCTCTCTAAACTTGTTCAAGAATACTGTTGTGGTTCTCGAGGACCGGTTACATGCTGGTGCTGCGTATTCTACTTCCTGGCATAAGGCTGTGTAAAATGCCTTAGGCGAGAATCTTTGCCAGCGTCACATATGCTGCTGATGTTACCATGTTTATGTGCGCCTCTGGTCTTAGTCTTGGCCATATATCCACTCACAAGTCTCTTTCACTTTGAAACCTGGGAGATAGTCAGCTGTCACGGGCTGCTTCCTGGGGGTGGAGGCCTGGTCGAGGACCGGGCCGCGGGGACACTAAGCCCCGAAATCATCTCAAGATAATTACTGGTTTCTATATACAGGACCCATCGTGTATGTATGTATACACTATACTGGTGTAGTTATGTATGTATACACTATACTGGTGTTGTTATGTATGTATACACTATACTGGTGTTATGTATGTATACACTATACTGGTGTAGTTATGTATGTATACACTATACTGGTGTAGTTATGTATGTATACACTATACTGCTGTTGTTATGTATGTATACACTATACTGGTGTTGTTATGTATGTATACACTATACTGGTGTTGTTATGTATGTATACACTATACTGGTGTTGTTATGTATGTATACACTATACTGGTGTAGTTATGTATGTATACACTATACTGGTGCAGTTATGTATGTATACACTATACTGCTGTTGTTATGTATGTATACACTATACTGGTGTTGTTATGTATGTATACACTATACTGGTGTTGTTATGTATGTATACACTATACTGGTGTTGTTATGTATGTATACACTATACTGTGTAGTTATGTATGTATACACTATACTGGTGTTGTTATGTATGTATACACTATACTGGTGTTGTTATGAATGTATACACTATACTGGTGTAGTTATGTATGTATACACTATACTGGTGTTGTTATGTATACACTATACTGGTGTTGTTATGTATGTATACACTATACTGGTGTAGTTATGTATGTATACACTATACTGGTGTTGTTATGTATACACTATACTGGTGTTGTTATGTATGTATACACTATACTGGCGCAGTTATGTATGTATACTGTTTAATGTTGCTTGTGGCTGGCTGTACTCACCATATACTTCACCAAGTGACTCACTACTGGTTATCCTTCAGCACTAAGATCTCCCTCAGTGTTCCTAGTGTGATCACCTGATCTGTGGCTGTTGGTCCCGTGTGTGTGTGGTGGTGTGTCACAGCCGGGCCGGGTACATTACCTGTCCCGCTCTCTCACTCTCAAGCTTCTTCTATGTGTCTGTGTTGGCTCTTGTGGTCCACCTTCAGGCGGCGCTCT